TAATACTTGGGTCTTATACGTAAAACAATTAATGTTTTATTACTCGAGAACTTTTTGATGCTCCCCGATGTAAGCCAAGCATATATATCATGCCTTTAATCTTCTACGCGAAACGATGGTATGGTATCTAAGAGCGGTATTCATATAGCCGGATCTTATATTTAGGACCGTCTTAAGTACAGTCTTAAAATGTCATGAACCAATCATAAGACCGTAATAACATCTTAAGACATTATTTAAGACGGTCTTAAGAATGAACTACGAATATCGTCTTAAATGTGGTGAACCATCTCTCGATTTTATGATAGACCTGATGGTATCTTTAGTTTTTTTTAAGTACATTATTATCTACGTTTGATCTGTAATACACACACACACGACGAGGTGTATGCATACTCACTACATCTGACGTAAAAGGTCTAGCGACCTGCGTACATGCTGGTAACAGCGCGAAAGTCGATTCGCAACCGGATCGTGAGCTCAATTCGATTACTACCGAGTGTAGCCAGTTGTTGCATTGACGCATTCGAAACTCGATGGACACGAAGTTGCGTTAAAGGGGTGAGAATCCCTTTCGGTGGAATTCACGCACCCAAATAGGTTTGTACGATGAATCGCGCACTAAAAGAAAAGTACGGAGAAGACCAGCGACCATGTATATCATTACAAGGCAAAGAACCTACGAAAAGAGCGTCAAAAAACCAGAACGATCGAAAATAGACTACGCGAATTCTTTATGATTATCGATAATCGATAGTGCGAGAATTTTATCGGGTGAAAATAGAGAATCCTCTCAAAATCCAAATTGATTGATTCCACGAAATAAAGAAAAACATTGATAAAATATAGTATATTTATATAGTAATTCAAGATTGAATTTAGGCATTAAAGATCCAGCTTCGACCGTTGTAGGCATTTTAATATTGGTTGTATTCTCACATAAACAGTCTAAAATAATATTGTTTATATTACGTCGCCTGAAAAAGACTGTTTCCTTACATGTATCGATTATTGCGAAGAATATTACTAAGACTTCGGTAGTCTAACGGCTTAGGACGCTCGTATGGAATACAAGAGATCCGGGTTCGACTTCCGGCCGAGGTAATATTTTTCGCAATAAATTTAATTACAATTTTTCAGTATATTAACATCTTTCTAATATAATGCCTGATTGAGCATCAAAATTATTAAAATCACTTGTCAATTTAATTCGCGAGTTTACTACAATAGTTTAATCGCGTTTAAATAGTCCGGAAAAAGAATTCGGCACGCAGTTCCAAGATTGAATTATTTAAACATTAAAAATCCAGCTTCAACCACATTTTAATATTGATTGTGTTCTCACATAAATATCTAAAATAATATTATTGATAAAATGATAAACTAACTGTGTGCTCTGTGGAGATGCTAAAATTATGAAATTTACAAAAATGGAGTTGAGCTCCAGTTCTGTAACCGGAAAGGGTCATACGCGACCTTATTGTTGATTCATCGCGATTATCTCGAAGGAATGTCCGCGCAACGCGCGTTGATAGTCAGGAATTATCGACCATAGAGCGCGCGCGCGCGAGCTTTGTTTTGCACGTGCATCATTCTAGCATTGCTGATCGTCGTTAGCGACAACGATAAGCGACAACGCGACTTGTCGACATCGTTGAGAAGTGTCTCCTGGATAACAAGTTACTGTCGCGACGTCGACGTGCCTTGAAACGTCATAAAGTTCTCAAGACATATTGGACTTTCTACAATAAGTCATTATCTAAGCTTCAAATCTTAAACTGTGAGAAATTGACTGATCAGAGACGATTATTCTTCTCACATTCGACTGGTCAATTCTTACGGCTTAAGACTTAAAGATTAAGTAACGGCTTATTGTAGAACGTTTGTACCAGTCACGCGTGTCCAAAATCTCGGATATGTACTATTAAATTCATGGTATCAAATTGTAGCCACATAGTTTAAGTTATTTTTAATCATTTCTATAGGTCGCCACTTATAACACTACTTAATATATCGTTAATTTAAATAAAACAATGGAGTTAAACAACTTCACTCAAAAAAGTGTATTACTCAAGAAAATCTGACTCAAATATATATTTAGTTTATTATTTACTAAGTGCACACGTTAATATAGATGTTGTTTACTTTGAAACTAACTACAGAAATTGATTAATTTAGATTTTGACATAAATAGAAGTTAAAAACGAAATGTTATTTAACTCCAAGAGATTGGATTGTTAATGCTCCTTTGATACCCAACAGTGTGGACACAGTAATGAGTGAATGTAATAAATTAACGTAATTGATACATAAAATTAAGTATGACGAATAAATAAATTGGATCACATGTAAAATTTCAGACTATTAAATTGCCAATTTATAATATAAAACAAATTCACGTATTTTTAAAATGATGTTTTTAAACTGATGTCTCTTATGAAATTTTCACAACGTATGTAACTGAACAAGACGTTAAAGCAAACGTGAATTATTCTGTCCATTGCTTGCATAACAAAGCGTAGGAATAAACAAGGTAAACCGTGCTAATAAATATTTCACGTGATATCGAAATGTGAATGCATTGAAGCGAACGCAGCAAGCTAACAAATACGAACATAATTAGCTTTCCAATGCTCCGAGAGTCAATCTGGTCCTGTAGCACATTACTTTGTCATCATCTCATTGGATATAATATACGGAATGTTAAATTGAGAGATATAAGTAACTAATGTTATTTTAAATAATACAAGGATCGTCCCTCCTAGAATTGTAATACAATAATATTATAATAGATTAGAAACTTTTCCGATCAATTCGAAATCCATTTTTCAATAATAAGAATTGATTTTCAGCTACTTTTTGAGTTTAATCCAAATTAATCAAAAAAGATTTTGCTATATTTCGCACATTTACACACTAAAAACTTAATTTTCAAACAGTTCATCTTGTCCTTTATCGTTTATTACTTATATAAATTATTTTACTTTTTTTTTTTTAAGAAAAACTTGACTTTAAGAGAATTTGTAAGAGAATTTATGACTAAAAGGATGTGCAATAAAATACGGTGCTTTATATATATGTATCTTTTAGATAAGATAAAAATTGAATACAGTGCATCATTTAGCGTGTAGAAGTTGTTTTCCGTTTCGTAACTTTTAACAATAAAATTCTCGATTTTCTGTCAAGTATATACGCGAAATCATTTCCTCGTATCATCTTCAGTGTTTTCTCTCATTTATTGAAAAATTTATACAATACCAGAAGTAGTTAGAAAATATTACTCCTTTATTTCAACATTGACACGATTCAAAAAATATGATTTTCAAATTATTATCATAAATGAGTCAGATGAACATTAATCTAGCAATAATCAAAAGTGCACTAACTTAATTTTATAAAAAATTGTCCTAAACAAACAAACAATTGTCACAATTAAAAAACATGATTTAAAAGAATCTCATCAAAATCATCACAACTCAAAAAGTGTAATTCTTTTAAGAATTGCACCATTAAATAAAAAAAAAATTCACATCAAATTATATCGAATTTAATTTCTTTTTAATCATTTTTATATTTATTAATTTAACCAAAACAATAAAATTAAACAATTCGGCTCAAGAAAATGTCTTAAATAAAATTTGAATAAAATTCAGATTATTATTTATTAAGTGTATATGGATGTGTTTACAAAATATGAATGTTGTTTACTTTAAAACTAGCCACAGAAATGGATTAGTTTATTTTGACACACATGGAAGCTAAAAATAACAGACTCTTGTTTAACTTAAAAAATTGGGTTGCCATTATTCTTTTTATATCTAACATAACATCTGAAATGAAAATAACAAAAATGACATTTGATCATGTTAAGAATACATTCTTTTGTCGATCATTCGATTAGTCAAATAATTTTCTGTCAAGTTAAAAAGTAGTTTTCCTTCTTTCTTGAGAAACTTAAGTTTGTCACTTTTAAAATAAAAGAGCAACACTTTTCACATTCAAATTGCTCATTCATAACTGTTCAAAATAATTAATTCAACGAGAATTCTACAATTCGCACAGAATATTTTTAAAAATGCAAAAAGCCACAAACCTTGATTAATAAATTCTGATCAAGAAACACAATGACAAGGAGATGACGCATCTCTACCAATTTACCCAAAGAACACACCAAGTCAAGAGAAAGTCAAAATGACTTCATTTTGACATCATAAAAGTCAAAATGATAATTTATCATTACAAAACTTGACTGTTTCTTGACGTTAATATCTACAAAAGATGAAAATAAAATCATTTTGACTTTTTGTCGACTTTTGTGAATTCCTTAAGTACCGAAATCCGAAAAACAACTTTCATTGGCGCGATCCTCGAGTGAATAAAATTTCCGCGGTTTTTAAAAGACTGACGGACATTTTACGCGAAGACGGACCCCGCGTCTTTCGCAACGGAGAAGGGAGAGGGGGGAGAGGAGGGAAGGAAAGAAGGGAGCGCATTGTGATACTCGCGCTCGGCGGTAACGCGGAGCGGCGATCGTCCGATCCGCGTCGGATTCGCAATTTGATTTGTCGGAGTCCGACGGGACGGACGGGCGAGCGAGCGAACGCGCCCGACTGTTATCGGACGCGAGCGAGTCGGCGAGCATGCCGGCGACGCGCGTCGCGTCACGGAGTACATACGTTCACGCCGTATGTCAGGAGCTCGCGGGGTAAAGATAAATGGCGCCCCGCGCGTCTCCACGAAAACCTCGCGTACTCGGCGGCGCGCGGCGAGAGCGAGACACGCGCGCATCGCGCGCCGTGCCCCCGCGATCATTACGCCGATAAATGGCGACGCGCTTCTTCGCGTTGCGAGCGGATTGCGGTTTCGTCTCGCCGAGCGGACGAGAGCCGCGAACGAGGACGCGAAATCGGGACGTCGCGTCGCGCGCGCGACGGGGACGCGGCGTCGCGTCGCGTCGCGTCGCGACTCGACGCGTGATAATGATTGGCGCGCGCACTCACCCTGTGTCCGGATTCCTCGAGCCGTTGCCTCTTGGAGTGCGGACCGTCTCCGTTGAATGCCATCCTCCGTTATACACCGGGCGATACGTTTGAATCGGGACACTCGGCGCTGCACGACGGTGACAGCGATAGCGAGACAGCGACGACGACGACGATGACGACGACGCAACGACGGCAACGACACGAACGTGTTGTGTATACCGCTCGTGATATACCTTTTAACACCGTGCCGACAATCTTCGTGCACGCGGACGGGGAAGGGGGGAGGAGGAGAAAATAATAATCGGTAGGATACACG